CACCTCACGGTCAACGAAGGCGCCCACTCTGTGGGATTGTGGTGACCTCTCTTTTTTCTGCACTTGAGGTCAGCGGTGGGAGGAAAGATAGAAGAAGAAAGAAAGAAGGAAGGAGAAGAGGAGGATACACCAAAGTAAGTGTCGCACACGGATCCCAGAGGGTTGGGGTCCGTGTGCGACACTCCGCCTTTGAAGGGGTTGCACCTTCTGCAGACGAAGCAGTGGGTCTATTTATATCCCCCCGACCCACTGGGGGTAATGCGTTCTTCGTGTACAAAATAAAACTACAAAAAGAGAAGAAAGCTTAAAATGTAAATGGCCGGAATAACATGAACGCTAGAACGTCTGCCAAGAGAAGCCATGATTCGACGAAAATCAATCAAGTTAGCAAAGAAGAAGAGATTTTCTCAAAGAAGGTGAAAAGGGGCAAATATATTGACCAACTACGTGGGTTGGCTTTTACTGTGACAATGCCATCTATGAACAATCGATATGGGGAAAGTATAATAAAAGACCTCAAACAATAGCAAGCTTTTTGTCCTTCGCTGTTATTTCCCGCCTTTCAGCTTGTGCTAAAACAACTGTTTCAGGCGCGGCAGGAGTAATACACGAAATGAACTCTGCGATATTCTCCTTGAAGTTTATTACGTGCATAACCTCTTATCTCAATATTCATTGATTTTTATTTTTTCAGAGGGGGTGGGGGGTTGGGGGGGGGGTGGAAAGGGTTGCTCATTTTATCTTATTTTATGGCCAACCTAAAAGATGAAGATCCTTGAAACTCCTCGGACAGCTCTATAGTGCGGTCAAAAATTCGTGGCGCAACTTATCCTTAAAGGGTGGGGGGGGGGCTACACCTGAAGGCTACCTGGCTTATAGGAGGATCAAATTTTACCAAATTTAAAACGTGGGGAGTCTTGAAATCCGCAATCAAATTTGAGAAAAAAGTTACGTTGCCGTGAAGATGGTGGAGATATTGAATTTTGTTGACATGTCTTACACAATGAATACTGCACTTATTGTTCGTGAAAATAGGCTGTTTGTTTTTGCATGCATGCATGTCAGCAGACAATACTTCTACAGATTTGTCTGTTGAATTTTTTATAAACGAATTAAAAGAATGTTGAATGAATATTTTCCTTGGATGGTATTCGAGTTTGTAAAATCTCCGTGAATATCCACACTAGATCGTACCAAAAATAATCTATTGCATACATAGGAATTTTAACAGACATATTTTTAGAGTGATATCTTTTCTTAATTCGGTGAAAATGTAATGAAGATTGGGTGAACAATGGTGGCGTTATTCAAAAAGGTAGAGAGAAAAACGGCATTTTGAGAAAATGGACGATAAAGCAAAATAACAGATTGACTTTAAGAGGATATCACGGTGACAAGCATGCCTGGTATGTGAAAAAAGATGTTTTTGGGGGATTCTTATGTGATGAAACAGTTGTAAGAGACTGCTTACATCTCAAAATCCATAATTTTTACCCGAATCAAGACTTTAAGAGTATAGCCCCTCTCCCCCCCCCCCCCTTTAAATTAATATCTTTAAAACGGTGAATCAATGTCACCCATACTATGCACAGCAGTTTGTATCAATTCGTCTTAACTTAATCATATTTTCCCACGACAACTGACTTTAGATTTTCAAAACCTTCAATACAAATGTATATAAATTGCTATAAATCTCCGTCACGCGGAAAATGAAGGTGTTCCCAGCATTCCTCACTTCTCGCATAGAGTTTGTATACGCATATGGCCTATGCCACTGCACACCACTGACACTAATGGAAGTGGCTAAACTTGTTGCAAAATGTTAGTTTTACAGGGATATTGTCCCAGCTCATAATAATAATAATAATAATAATAATAATAATAATAATAATAATAATAATAATAATAATAATAATAATAATAATAATAATAATAATAATAATAATAATAAATAGCATTTATACTGCGCATTTTCATTTTTTAAAAGATGATCAATGCGCATTACAACGAAAAAGACATCACATCTTAAAAATTAATCGACATGTGTGTACGTAAAACAAAGTATTATACATTATAATATAAATGCATAAGTGTAAAATTTTGTAAGAGAAAAACAGTCTCGCAGTCTCATGAGGCGTGAGCCTTTTAAAATGTCTGTAGAAACCACCCACTGGGATATTTTATTAGTATTCATTACATAATTTTCTAGAGTACAGCTAGCTAATGGACGTTTACAAAAGTATCGATCTGTTGAGATAAGTTGATATAAGTCATCGTGCAAAATCTGGAGAGTCTGTGTCTGATAGATGAGGGGATATTCCTCAATAAGTTGCGCCACGAATTTTTGACCCCACTGTATTTAAATAACGTTCCTTTGAGGGTTCGAACCATAGTCAGCGGCTTATACCACTCCTATTGTTACTACTATTATTACTACCACAACTACTCACATCAGAACAGAAGGGATCTGCGAGGACTCGGTAGCGGGCGCTCGTCACGTCATCCAGTTCCGCTGACCACCCGGGCTCGAACACCTCAAGGGTGAGAGTGATTACAGTGTACAGGACTGTGGAGTGGAAGAAAAAAGGATAGTAGTAGTAGTATAAGGTTTTACGGCGCTCGCAACTGCTAAGGTCATATGAGCGCGCGAAACACAAGTTGTTCACCTCTGCGAAAGTTCACTTCACGACTGGTAACTAATTTACTTTAAAATGCTAAAAAGTTAAAATATTCAAATTCGGTGTAAATACATTTGTGATCTAAAACAACTTTTAAGTAACAATAAAAATTTTAAATAATATCAAATTCACTCTACAACTCGCCATAAAGGCCAATGGCCTTTATAAAATTTAAAATTCTGCTGGGAACAACGACGGAGAAAATATCCTGCAATTTCTTGCATTTATAATATTTCCTTCGGATCGGGGTCACAACTGGCGGGCAGGTAGCTTTGCGGGCCTCCTGAAACGAGCA